CTACAAACAGACCAAAGTCCAAAACCAGGTAGGTAACCAGGAACATAGAACAACCAACAGGGAAAAACCAAGATGCAAAAAAAAAAGAAGGAAACAAATCCCAGGAACAAAAAACAAGAATTAGGCTAACAAGGAAAGCAAGCAGGATTAGGAGAAAGCTATTATAATAAGGGAAATAGTAAAAAATGAGAATATTTACAGCAAACAACACTATACACAATGTGGTTAGAGAGCAGGATTTAAATAGGCCTGATGAAGGAAAGTAGGGAGAGCTAGTGACACTAGACAATGAGGGAGTGGCAAAAGACATCTGCTTGGTCTGTTCCTCTGCTGTACAGCAAGAGTAGCTCCTAGAGGTTGGGGGTGCCCTCTGGTGGGAAGATGGTGGAACCATAGCGACCAAAGAATCTTGTTTTCATAAACACGACACAGAGGTGATACTTTGCAAACAGATTAACAAGAGTTTAACAAGCATTTACTTCCTCTAATTTAATGATTGATAAAGGACAATCACCTTTTGTTACAACAGTTGTAATAGTGTTGCAAGTCTATATGAGTGCATACTTATTGTGAGATTTCAGGTGGGTAGCTGCGTCAGCATGCGTAGGCTGTAAAGGAACAACTAATAGGTTTATTCCACTCTGAAAAAAAAAGAGAAAAAAACACAACGTTTCGGCCATGGAGCCTTATTCAGGTGTGCTTATTGTGAGAAGTTTATAGTGAAATCAAGTATTTTCACAAAAACAAAACCCAACAGTATCGATTTTTTTTTTAGATTTTTAAGAACTTTATTTTCTTTTCACAAAAAAAAATACAGGACATCACAAATTAGAAAGCTTTACATTAATATACATACCTAAAACAGTATATATGATCACATCTTATTACATTTTGACACGGTACCAGTTACATAGCAACAATTTCTTTTTTTCTGGTGCAAATCACATTCTTTACTTAAACAGGATAATGTTTTTCACAGTTTCTTGAGATATTGCAATTTATGGGACAGTTAAAAGTTTTCTAAGATCTCACCCAATTGGCCATGTTCCCCTCCGAGATGTCAGCGTCCAAAAACTAGAAGATTTCGTTACACCCCAGAACAATAGGCAGACCCCTGTGGGCATTTTAACATCAGTCCAAACAAGGAAGGTGTGGAAACACACATCCTCTAAGCTTCTGTGCAACTTTCACAGAGATTTAGCCCGGAGTGTCATCCACCAGTGCTTACCGGTACGAACTTTCTTGTACCGTAGGGGCCTCACCCCCAGCCCTCACTGCGTTAGAGTGGGCTGCGGCGAGGAGGAGACTGTGACCCATCTCCTGTGGTCCTGCTTTCTTGCTAAGGCCTTCTGGGCACAGTTTGAAGATTGGTTGCAAGCTCTCTCACCCCAATTTACCCTGACCGCTGCTTTCGTCATATATGGCATCTCTCCTGTCAAACTTCCTCCTGACGTGTTTGACAGTATCTGGGCCGTGGAGAACAGTGGGAAAGATGCCCTGTGGAGAGTGAGAAACATGGGGCTGTTCAAAGGCATTGAGGTCCCACTCAAGGCAGCAGGTAGCTTGGCCCTGTTCATCACCTGAGAGAACTATTACCTCAGAGATCGGTGAAGAGAAGGGAAGGAGGAAGCATAAAATCTGTGAGAAATAGGGGGCGTAGGTCAATATCTCAAGAAACTGTGAAAAACATTATCATATTTAAGTAAAGAACGTGATGTGCACCAGAACAAAAGAAATTGTTGCTATGTAACTGGTACAGTCTCAAAATGTAATGACATGTGATCATATATACTGTTTTAAGTATGTATATTAATGTAAA